GACAGATATCAGTTGGAGGAACAATGGAAACCTAAGCGCACTGGATCGCAGCTGTTTCACCTGACTAGTATGGAACTCTGCGTCTGTGCACACCCACGACCTTCCGGTTTCCGTGGTTAGCACGTTACCATTGAGCTGGCCACTGTGTCAGCGGGATCCAATGGTCCACATTTCCAATTGAACTGGTGCTCATTGGTGACTAACTTCGAGAGGTGATTCCCGAAGTTCCAATGAGAAGTCGTGACCGGTGGAGCAAACCCTGATGGTTGTGAGGACAGTTGCTCAATAATGAGATTAGGTGGTGGTTGTGCTATATCATGAGCTAACAGAAGTTGGAAATGTGGACCACTGGATTCTGACCCAGTGGCTCAATAGCAACGTGGTAGCCACGGTACCTTAAGGTCGTGGGTGCGCACTGCTGAGGAGTGTCATACTAGGAAGAAACAGCTGTCCAGTGTTCCCAAGTTTGCATTATTCTTCCAACTGATGTCAGTCTAAGATGAATTACAACTTGAAACTTTCGATGTGTTTCAATTTTAGCACTGTAAACGTATCGTCTACATATCGAAACCATAACATTGGAGACGGAGTAAATGTTTCGATACCCATCGATTATCATGTTAAGGAATATTGATGATTTTATAGCAGCTCCATCTATTTGTTTGTATAATTTATGCTGAAACTCGAAGACTGAGAATGTTAGACACAGCTGAACACTTACTTGTACCTTGGCAAGTAGTGTAAGCTCATAGTCATTACTAAGCTCGTTTTCAACTGCTTCCAGAGCCAGGCCATTTTAGTATATAAACTAACTACATCAAAACTAACCATTTTCTCATCATCATCATCATCTAATCTAATCTATGCTTCAAATCATAAGAGTTAGTGAGTCTTGATTTAGAACGGTTTGCAATTGGGCTAAATATTTAAATAAATCATAAGTAGGAGTGTTCCAAGCATGAAAAGCTTCACAAAATCAAAATTTGTAAATTATAATACTATAAAGGATCTAGAAAAAAAGCTCAACCATAATTATATATCCAATCACACACAGATAGAATGGGATAGAGTAAAACTTTTGAAAACTGACTTGATGGAATGGAGTGAGAGATAATCAATCGATTACTCAATCTTTGTTTATCAAATCATTATAAAAGGATATGCGATATGAATAAATCAACACCTTTTCTGGATATATACAAAAAAATTCTAATATCTTTATTCATCATAAAGAAGGAGAATGGATTAGAACTACGCAAAGTATTTCTCAAAGTTCTGAAGTTTATCTTAAAATGACTATGGACAATAAATTACGTCCAAAATGTAATTCAGTAAAGGAAGTAGTCTCTAGCACTGTTTCAACTACAGGTGGCGGCATAGACGAGGATGTCAAAGCCAGACAGGATTGGAAAATCAAGATAGGCGTTCATTAACCTGAAACCAGTGTGGAGATCTACTGCACTGCACTCAGCATAAAGCGTGAACAACATCCAGATTTTCAACATCAATTCAGTCAAGTCGGTGCTCCTGTATGACTCAGAGACTCGGTACGTTACAAAAGGGATTTCCAATAAACTACATATATTCATCAACAACTGCCGCCTACGCTGGCTCGTTACTGAATATCAGATGGCCAGAATAATAAGAACAAGCAACAAGGAACTCTGGCTGGCTGACAGCGAACCAACCAAGAACCTATCACTCAACATGTATGCATTGGAAGGAAGTGGAGATAGATTAGGCATACACTAAGAAGGCCGACTGAGGACATCACGTGTCAGGCCAGGTCATGAAGTGGAACCCAGATGGGAAGCGACGAGTTGGGTTTGGAGGCGAGGGTGACATGGAGAAGATCGTGTGAGGAAGAAATGAGAGCTTGTGGGCTGTCGTGGAGCCAGGTTCAAAAGATTTCGAAGAACAGAGAGCATTGGAGACGTGCTACTGAAACCCTATGTTCCATTAGGAACCCAATGGACAAATAATAAATCATAATAAAAATAATACTGTCCCATTGTGTGATACATTTTATGAATTAACCAAAATGGATTTCAATTCTACTACAGTGCACAAGTTTTACTCTTATAAGAAACTCCCTTAGTCTAAATTTCTGAAACAAGATAGAAAAAATCATTCAAATATACTTTATCAAATTTGTATTCATCATGAACTGATATCAGTTGGAGGAATATTGGAAACACTGGACAGCAGCAGTTTCATCCGAGTACAGGACTCTTCAGCAGTGCACATCCATGAACCAGCCAGAGGTCATTGGGTTGGCAGAATCCACTGATCCGTATTTTCAACTTCACGATATAGTGCGATCACCATTCAATGTCATTATTGATTATTTGTCCTCATGAACACTAGATTTGACACACTGTTTACGACCTTTCATTCGAACTTCAGGATCACCTCTCGAAGCTAGTCACTAATAAGCATTACTTCAATTGAATTTGAGGGGTTTGTGGGGATTTAGAAACATTTCAAGTTGGTATTCATCGTTGACTGACATCAGTTGGAGGAACATTGAAACCCAGGGGGAACTGGATAGCTGTTTCGTCCTAGTATGGGACTCTGCAGCAGTGCAAACCTAAGACCCCAGTAGAGATCAAACCGGCCACCTTCAGGTTAGGTTAAGTGGCGGTAGCGCTATGTAGTGAACTCACAGAAATTGGGAATATGAACCATTGGATTTTGATACAGTGGCTAAGTCAATGGTAACGTACTTGCCATGAAACCTGGCGAGGTCACGAGCGCGCACTGCTGAGGAGTCTCATAATAGGATGAAACAGTTGTCCATTGCTCCCAGGTTTCCACTGTCCCGCCAAATGACGTCAGTCTACAAGTTTAAATATTTCTAAATCCCCAGAAACCCCTCAAATTCAGTGATAACATGCCTAACTGACGAACCAGGTGACGATATTTTTTGAATCTCTTAAAAGACATTGGTCCCTCCATGACTGCAGATATACGTTGGAGATGAACAGCGAACTCGAGAAAACCAATCAGGTTTCAAACTTGGTCAAAGGTGCATCGATCACATTTTCACCTTACGATAGATTCTGGAACACATATATATCTACTGGTGCCCAATAATCACTACATTTCGTGGCTTGAAAGTGGCATTTGACTCTGTCGACCGTGAAGTTTTGTAGCAATATGGAGCCAGTATAAAACATTGAAAATCATAGCTCTCTACTCGAACTCATGTAGCCGTGCCAGTGCATAGAGAAAGTTGTCAAGTGAATTGACAATAACTAGTTTTGTCCAGCAAGGATATCTACTGCTCCCGTTCTTAATTAACTCCATCATAGACGTACTAATGGACAAAATCCTATGTAGGTCTGACCTCATGGGGAATGACCCACACCCTGGAGATAAGATTGTCCTGCTAGGTGAAAACACTGACAAATTGCATGGTCTTATGAACGCGTCCAGCATAAATCTAAGTTACATTTGGCATGTGTTTCACTGGGATCTGTGAAATGTGCTTCAGGACTGACTGATCGGCAATGACCCCCTGTTATATGATAGGGAGTCAAGTGGTGGAATGTGTCAACCACTTCCCTTACTTTGCGAGTTACATCAGCTCAAATGGCCTGGTTGCTGACAAAATCTCAACTAGAATACAAAGAGCCGTTTGGCATTTGCTAACTTGCGCCACCTGCGGCCCCGGCGAGAAATTCGATTATCTATCAAACGATGAGTATACTGCGCTGCAGTCCGTTCCATCCTGTTGTACGACTGGGAGACGGCCGTTAAAAATACAGCACATGAAGCGGTTTCAGGGTTTTGATCGTAGATGTCTTTGTAGTATTACTTGCGTTTTGATAGAATCACGTGTGAGTAATGTTGAAATCAGATGAAAGGTGTTAGGCAAAACAGGCAAGTGGATTGAAAGGTTTTAAAACTTAATCGATTCAAATGGCTTGGAAATGTACTGTGCATCCCGAAGGAATTTCGATTAGGATGGAAAAGCGTTCAGGGTGGCCAGATTAAGACCTGGCACTAGTGCATGAAGTCTCTGACTATTGGCTTGATCCATGTGAGGAAGATGTGGACTATTCGGGTGGGTCGCCAAGACGAAAGGAATAAATGGTTGAAAATCGTCGACAACGGTGCAGATGTATTCAGTCCTTGAGATCTTGGTAAGCTTGAATATTCACACTAACCCTCACTCGTTTTTCTATCCACTTTTTCTTATGTACAATTGCGAATGGCAACTTGAGCCGATGAACTCCTGTGCAAGGTACTACGTTGATTTTATCAGTTAGTCAGTCAGATAGGTAGTTGATCAGGAGTGTAATCGGATAAATACAGCTCATATAGTCGAATTAGTTAGGGTCGCCTGGATCTGGTTAGGCTATCTAGCTGACTACTATAAGTCAGAATGTCTAAAACATGTCGATTAATTATCAAATAGACCGTGCAGTTTGTTAATGGATCAGCCCTCTCCTAGCAGCATATAGTTCTCATTAGTCACTAATGAAAACACCACTTGGTGTTTACTATCAACAAAAGGAATCAAAGTTGTAAATATACCGAAAGTAACATCAATAATTCAACAAACTGTCACACCTACGTGATAGGGCATTAAGCCACGTGCTCAAAATGATAATCATCTTCACTAAACACCCCCTTGGAATACTTATGTGGTTATCTGTTCAACGCTACGGAGCACAAAATAACGCTACGACTTAGGCAGCTATGTGTATCGAGTTTCAGCCTGAGGTGGAAGAGTATCTCACACACTGTGCGGTGCAGGTACACCCAACTGACGAAACATGCATTCTTGATTCCATTACAAAGCATTGTAAATTGAACTACAAGGATAACCAATAGTAAGTTGATATCAAATGATCCACTATCTATATGTCATAATTTCATATATTATGTATTTAATTCCATTTTACAAAAGTCTAGTCATATTTCATCAAGTTTGATCCTTTTTAACTACTTATAAGTAGTATAAAATAATAAATAAAATTTCTTGTTTTCAGGGAAATATTCAATTCAAATGGAACAAGTTTTGAAGATAATGCATTTCAATCAATGATACGTGTAACAGACAGAGTACAACACTTTATGAATCTTAATCGAATAAATAATGAAATAAGTTTAAATGAATTAACTAAAAATTTACCTTCATTAGCTGAAAAATCTAATATCATAAATCAATCATCATCATCATCGAATATTCAATCATTTACAAGTAATGAATCAGATAATAGTCAATTAGTTGCATTTATTCAACAATTAATATATTATTGTATTGTTGGTTTTATTGTCTATAAAATATTGATCTGGTTCAATATACGACCACATTTTGGTTAATTATATATATATATATATATATATATATATATATATATATATATATATATATATATATATATATATAAGTACTCAGGTGTGAAGAGTGTAATGGAAGTATAGTTCATCAATATTACACAATATCTCCCCTTACCTATTATACTAACTTACTTTTATATTGATTATAGTTGAGATGCTGCTTCTTTCAGTTATGATAACTAATACACTTATACAGAGTTATATGAACATAAAAACTATAACTAACTTTATGAAAAGAGAAAAAAAAAAAGAAAACAATTTATAGGCTATTCATAATTATTCTTAATAATTTTAATAATGATTATTATTTTGCATTTTTAATTGTAATACATAAATATGCTTGTATAAGACACTTTTTCTTCCCCTTTTAAGTATTTTAGTTACACTTGATAGACAATCAAAGAAAGTAGTAACTCTTTTTTTGTTGTTGTTGTTGTTGTAATCGTTATTATTATGATAATCATGTTTCGATTAGTAATCTATTTGTTGTGAATTACCAATAAAATCAATAAATCAATCCAAGATACTGTTATGAACCTAGAGTGAATGTTTGAATATAATCAATTGTGGGATTATTATTGTGAATGAAGTTATCTAATGCAGAGAATATATATATATATTGCCTTGAATACACATACACAATTATACAAAGTGAATCCCTTCTCATTCATGGTAAACAATAACAGAAGAAAAAGTGGTTTTTTTTTTCACCGAGAAATATTGTTTATTCGCTTGCTTTGTATGTTATTATTATCATGACTTCATTGGCATAACTTTTCTATATGTTTATTTGTATTTTGAAATTGGAGAAAATATTTCCCAACCCACCCCCCCCTCGCCCTCCTATCCCACTTTTTTTGTTTTCTTTATGATATGATTATCATCATTCAAAATCATATCAAATAAACAACTTCATTGTTCATATCTACTAAATTCATTATGTTATACTTTTTTCAACAATTCATCATCACTCATTCAGAGTATCATATTAAAACATACATAGAAAACTATGTAACCATCAGTTAATATTGATTCAGTACTATTCTTATTTGTTTTCTTTCACTTTCTTGTTTTAACACCTTAATTGTAAGAGTATTTTATCATTGTGATATATTGAACTAAAGAATAAGATTATGTGTAACGTTCTCTTTTGTTTTAAAATATATAACATGAAAAGTTTAATTATCTCGATGAATCATAATTTCATTCTGTTCTTGGAGCTTTGATCGTTTTTTCTAAACATCGATATCATTAGTACTAGCTTCAGTGAGCTGTTAATAGATCTCCCTGACTGATTCATTAGCTTACCCTGTCTAACTGCTTTGTGCGTCATTGGTTCTTTCTGTTGGTTGTTATGTCATTGACTGACTGCATAGAGTTTCTTGTTAGTTGTCCCTCTGCTTGCTGACTGACTAATCTGAATGCTAAGCTTTTAGAAATTCTCTGGCGATTTTCTTTTTCTTTCCTCTCTCCGTCCATGTTTTCTACATTGTCAGAATTCATATCATGTCCTTAGTTGTTATCCATGTGCATTGAGTGATGAAATATCATGTGTGACGTTTAATAGCCAATTGGTGTTCATGTAGATGAAGGCGAAGGTGGTTGGCCACTACAGTTATTTCAATTCATTTTATAAATGATATTCGGTTTGTCTTCATTGACTGTTGCATCCTGTAGTCTGCTTAATAGTGTTTGGAGGGGATTTGTTGGTTTATGAAGCACCCCACACTAATGCCAAGTGGTCTCAGTAATCTTGTCGTGATTTCTGATACGATACATTCTCTATTTATGGTAGGATGATGCGTTTGTTGATTTCTATCGATGACTTTGTAGTTCATGATGCACGGGATATGCATCTTTCGATAAAGTTTCGTGGGTAGCCGTTCTTCTTTAGGATGGACATCAAGTAATTTTCTTCGTTTCTCCATGAAGTTGTTGCACTGCAGTACAGTGTCTTCTCGCTCTTCTGAATAGAGTCTGCACGCAACTGATCTTGTGCGTTGTTGGTACTGTAGTTGAGGATTTGGTCAGTGTGTGTTGGCTTCCTGTACACTTGAGTTTCCAGCTTTCCAGCATTTGTTCTACTGACTAGAACATCTACGAATGACAGCTGATTGTTCGACTCCTTCTCCATTGTGAATTTCATGTCATTGAAAACGTTGTTGATCAAACCGTTTTCTATATTATCGTTTTGAATGATGACAAAAGTGTCGTCCACATAGAGAATCCAAATTTTTTTGTTTGGTCACAAGCAGAATGATGACTTCCAGTTTCTGCACCCGGATATCGGTGATCTCATTGGAGTTCCATTCATCTTTTTGTATATCTTGCCATTGAATTGTAAGTATGTTGTCAGCCAAAGGTCGATGAGTTCCATCAGACCTGAACGTTTAAGTTTTGTGCGTTCTGTAAGGCTTGTGTTTTCATTGAGCAGGAGGGACATAGTTTCCTTGGCCAATTGGGGTTCGACGGATGTGTATAATGCTGTGACATCGAAAGAAACCTTGAATTCATCGTTTTCTACATTGATGGTTGTCGATGGTTGTCTGGTTTGTGTTGTTTTAGTCTGTCGTAGAACCGATGAACAACAGGTCCATTCGGTTTCATTCTTATTGCTCTGTTATTTATTATCCTTTGCAGAGTTTGCTCAAGGTTTTACTGATCTACATGTCAAACTTTTGGATAGAGTTGGTTTCAAGTGATTGATATACACTTTCGTCTTTAACTAAATCCTCTTCCTTCTTCACGTAGTCTTCTTTATCCATGACTACCGTGGTGCATCCTTTGTCTGCTGGACGTATAACGATATCTTTTCTATTCTCGTCTTTTTAATGTTTTCTGTTCTTTAGTGTTCGTTTGAGCGTGATGTCTCTTCTGCCTGGTTAGTGGTACGATTATTTCCTGTATTTCTTGTCAAATAACCTCACTTAATCCTTAAATTTTATTTCAAGATTCTAATGCAGCAAAGAATTGAAGACATCTCTTGTGTTACAATCCATTCGTTTCTGAAGTAGTTCTTCCATTTTTGTTAGTGGTTGTTTTGACAAGTTGGCGACACAGTCGTTTGTTCCCTCAGTTGTAGATGCTTCTGAAATTTTGTGAGGCTTTTCTATGGTTAGTGGTTGCTGGCAATGGAATCTATGACGTGCGTTTCGTCCGATTTAAGACTCATCAGCTGAATTTATTTATAACATCCCAGCCTAATGGAACTTGAAGCCCATCATAACATGATGGATAATCAGACGATATGCCAACAATGGTCAATCAATTCGATCCAGATTAATAAAGACGAGTTACAAGTGTCAATAAATAATAATGTGAATTTCTTCCAAAGAATTTTAGAACTAAAGCAAACAAGCGATTCTTGAACAATAAACTCAACGCTCAAATGATGCGTAAAATGTAAAACACAAAATTTGTCTGTGATACAATTCTGTATTAATTTAATAAACAATAGGAACGAATAAATTACAACCCTTGAATCATGATACGTCTATGCGTTTTTCTCTACTAAAGTACCAACAGTCAAAACGCCAAACCAGAGGAGAAAATGTAAAGGATGCGAGTCTCTTCCCATGAGGAGGTAAAGTCACGACATAAAAAAAATGTTCAAGGTAAAATAGAACATCAGGGAACACTGAAAGAGAGGAGAAAGGGATATCAAATGAAGAACAAGATACAACTGAATAGAATGACCAGTCAAGTTGCGGATTATTATTATTTATCCGTTGGGTTCCTAGTAGAACAAAGGGATTCAGTAGCACGTCTCCATTCCACTCTCTTCTCTACAATCTTCCCAACCTTTCGCCACGACTGCCCACAACCTCTCATTTCCTCCTCCCACGATCTCCTCTATGTCACCCTCAGCTGGGGCGCCCAACTTGTCGCTTCCTATCTGGGTTCCACTCGATGCATTGACCTGATTCGTAATGTCCCCAGTCGGCCTTCTCAGTGTATGCCCAATCTATCTCCACTTCCTTCCAATGCATACATGTTGAGTGATAGGTTCTTGGTTGGTTCGCTGTCAGCCAGCCAGAGTTCCTTGTTGCTTGTTCTTATTATTCTGGCCATCTGATATTCAGTAACGAGCCAGCGTAGGCGGCAGTTGTTGATGAATATATGTAGTTTATTGGAAATCCCTTTTGTAACGTACCGAGTCTCTGAGTCATACAGGAGCACCGACTTGACTGAATTGATGTTGAAAATCTGGATGTTGTTCACGCTTTATGCTGAGTGCAGTGCAGTAGATCTCCACACTGGTTTCAGGTTAATGAACGCCTATCTTGATTTTCCGATCCTGTCTGGCTTTTACATCCTCATCTGTGTCGCCTGTAGTTGAAACGATGCTGCCTAGATAGGTGAAAGCGGCTCCTTGATTTAAGTTTCTCCCGTTGATCGTGATCAGAGCCTGTTGTTGGTTGGGTATCTTCATCAAGTCTGTCTTCTCTACGTTCACTTAAATTCCCATCTTCACTGCCCTGCCCCTTATGTCAACTTGTTAGTTTTAGCCTGTAGATCTTCAAGTTTGTGTGACAGTAGACATAAGTCATCACTGGCGAAATCTAAATCTTCTTGGTTCTTTTCCGCGGTCCAGCCTATCCGCATCTTCTCGCTCCTCACTTTTTGTTGCATGATCCAGTCGACCACAATCAGGAATATGATGGGTGATAGTAGGCAGCCTTGTTTCACTCCTGTCTTCACTTCAAAAGCATCACTTGGCTTCCCATTGTGAATTACTTGGCATGTGGTGTCTTCATATAGCTGTTGAATTAGGCTGATAAAGGTTTGTGGTATTCCGTAGTGTTGAAGCAACTGCCAAATTACTTGTCGGTCAACGCGGTCAAAGGACTTTTCAAGGTCGATGAAGTGGAGGTAGAGATCCAGTTGACTGCTATTCTATACTTTGTTCTATGATGATGCGAAGCGTCGCAATTCGGTCCGCAAATGATTTGTTGAGGATGAAGTAACATTTTAAGGAAACA